GTCCTTAGTCAAAACCACTTTTAAAGTTGGCAAAAAATTACTTCGCGTACATCCGCTCGATAAAATAAAATGATGTGTCTTACTAGTTTGAAGAGCACCTCCCGCCCTCCCTCAATTGCGTGCACTATCACCGTCACCACTAATCCCAGCACCACTACTCCCGCACCACTACACTAGGAAAAACACGCCACTGACGACAATACGACACGTGTTTCGCCTCTACACGAGGCATCTTCAGGTTATCTAGACTCTGCGGTGGGTGACCGCTATCACTTAGTGTCGTATTGTCGTCAGTGGTATGTCTTTCCCAGTATAGTGGTGTTGGGAGTAGTGGTGCTGGGATTAGTGGTGACGGTGATAGTACACGCAATTGAGGGAGGGCGGGTGGTGATCTTCAAACTAGGTAAGACACATCATTTTATTTTATCGAGCGGATGTACGCAAAGTAATTTTTTTGCCAACTTTAATATAATGGACTTCCGCAAAGTAACGCCTGATTCTATTTAAAACGACTTTTGCCTGATTTTTGGAGTCAAAAGTGATTTTGACCGGTTATGAGTTTTGATTGTAACATGTATAAGATGTTCTAGACACGACTAATTCTTAGTAGCGTGCGAGGTTAATTTGTTTTACGCTCGGTCAGTCGATGTCGCCTTTTAGTATGCACTTGTAACCAGTTTTATGTGAGCTTTTTTTGTCCGCTAGTTACGAGTACCTTACGCTTGGCCGGTTTGGTAATAATACACGGGGTAATGTAGATTATATCAATAAGTTTAGTTTTTAATACGGTTTAGTAGTTTAATACGGTTTTTTGCATCGACTGTTGGCTTCATAAACAGATTTATTTCATGTAAAAGTCTTTGAAAGAGATTTTGATTACTGCATTTAATTTTTATAATCTTATTTTTTTTAAATTAGGGTAAGAAATGAGTATATTCTTTTTGATATAGGTAAAGGTGACAAGCGAGCACACAGTCCATCTGATTGTAAGTGGTTGCGGTGGCCCATAGACATCTACATTTATCCTAGTTTGCGAATCAAAATGCAGGTGCGTTATCAGCTGCAAAGACTTAAGTAGAATGCCTCTTTTCGAGTAAAAAGGGACTCCGGTTCTCTACACTCACCATACGAAACACAGCAGCGTTAAACTGCTATTTTACGCTGGTTTTCTGTGAGAGCGTGGTCCTTCCCCGGTCGAGCCGACCCATTCGTGCTACAACCATACAATTAATATAGCTGCAGCAAGGCTCTATCAAATAATAATACCTATAGACACCTACATCAATCAACAATTAAGAATCAAAATGTAGATGCGTTAAGCTGTGTCTCGCTAGCAACGCAGTCAGGAATTTGCATAACAAAATTTGAAAAACTCAGAATTAGCGGCTTTTAGGTGCTAATTAGGTACCAAGTTTAAAAATTAGTTGCTCCAAAATTTTTACCGCGACGAACTGTTGAAATTTGCGTTGCTGGCACAACATATCGCTAGCAACTCAGTGACGATAAATATAATACGATAAATATTAATAGCAAGGAATTAAATACTGAAAGATTATTGAGGTCGGATGTAGATGACGGTAATATTCTGGGAATTATCGAGTCCAGGAACACCATTACTTTACTATATGATATGGACGGCATTTTTTGTTCTTTATCAGTTATATATTATAGCTAAGATAGGTCGAATCTCTACTAAAACCGAATCAGAACGCACCGACTCCACGTAGTCGAGTTTGCCTTATCCCTAAGAGTGTTTTTGTAAAGCCGTAGGCGCGGAGGGAGAGCAGCCCCCGCCCGCTGTGGCAAATCGCAGGCATCTGTGCGAGCTGCAGAGGATTTGCGGAGGTGAACATGGGTGCCTGTGATGTGTTTTTTTTTATTTTTAGTCGTTCTTAGGAATACGCTGCTGCTCACTCCTGCTCCAGTTTCCCTCTGTCGCCTCTTACGATACCCAAGAGATGATATGTGGTAGTGAATATTCTTACACCGCCACTGTGCGGATCATTTTCTAATTGGCGTAGAAATAAATATATATCATTTAATTTCGCGTCTTTATAACGTTAATTAGTACTTGCTACCTTTGCTATTTATATATATATATATATATATATGGATTGTTATGTACTTGTTTGGATTCATATGTATTTGTCTATTTTTTTTTACGTGGTAGAACCACGCTGCAGCTATATAATGGTTGTAGCACAAATGAGTCGGCTCGACCGGGGAAGGATCACGCTCTCTCAGAGTACCAGCGTAAAATTCTAGTTTAATGCTGCTGTGTTTCGTATGGTGAGTGTAGAGAACCGGTGACCTTTTTTACTGGAAAAGAGGCATTCCATCTTAGTCCTTACGGGTGACAACGCATCTGCATTTTGATTCACAAACGAGAATAGATGTAGATGTCTATGGGCCACTGCAACCACTTACCATCAGGTGGACTGTGTGCTCGTTTGTTACCCTATCCTATAAAAAAAAGCCCTGTCGTAAAAACGTGGACAAAGTAAATAATGGCAAAACTGACAATTTTTTTTTACACAGGTAGATATGTTAATCATACTAATAAAAAAAAAGAAAATGGTCGTCAAACTTTACATATTGACTTTCGTTTCCGACGCCACCACGAAATTAAAGTTTTTATATATTTAAATACTACGTTAAAATAAATAAGTTTGAATACTAAATAACTGAAAACAGAGCGCCTTCTTTCACTCGCAGGTACTTTACATATTATATCTTAAACTAAATACATGCTGTTAAAAACCGGTTAAGGTTTATCTTAAATATACCTATTTAAAAATTGTTAATTAAATTGTGACTTTAAAAATTTCCATATCATGCATCGAATAATTTAAAATAATTATTTAAGTTAGCCGCGTAGTATCACCATTTACACCGTCAAATAAGAGATTAAATTTATTTAACATGTATTATTTAAGTTTTACAATTGGAGTCAATATTTTATATGAAATTGAATTTAGTTAAAATATCTACGGTTCTTTGTTACGAAGCAACGAATCTTACCAGAGTGTACATCGCAAAAAGTGTGCATAGATTGAAATAACAGTAAGGCTTAGTTTAGTGTAATAGACGTGTAAAACAAGGATGTGTACAATGTACACGCGGTACTTCGGCAAACATATCACGTCAACAATCTTTATGCAAACAAGGGTTTTGATATTCATGAAACACTAGTAGGACATCAAACGTAGGGATTACCGGATTATATCTATGTACTATCATCCATGTAAATAGAATGCATTGTTCTAACTGTAGATATGAATAAGCATAATATACTAAATAGCCTTGGTAGCTTAAGATCTCGCTAGGGAATATAGATTCCTACAAACCTAGACTAATTACATTAAATATTTAGACCAGCGACGTGAAGCAACGTCAAAGGTACAAGATGGTGCTGCGGCGATTAGGAAAATTCTCCAAACTGGAGATACCCACGGCCAGCAGTGGTGGTTTACGGATTGGTGAAGAAGAAAAATAAGTAGAATTTAAAAAATAACACCGTGACGATCATAACACGTTACAATCAGAAAACTCACAGTTTGTTTTGCACAAGACCAACTAACTGCCTTAGTCCAGAAACGTTTCCTACTCCGTTCCAATGCTTGTTGCGTGCACACAACTAACCAAAGTTATCGGATTATTTATATAGGAACGCATACGGGACAAGTGACTAAACATTCATTTTTATAAATTACAATAGAGAGAGTATACATCCGGCACTTACGTCAATTTGAAAATGAAAAAATGTATGCTTTTGTTCAGTTGTTAGACCTATTGTTTCATATTCATGCACTTTCTGCACTGCAGGGCGATTCAAACGAAAACGAAACTATTTTTTTTCTGCTTGCACAGGTGCCTCCGCGCCTACGGCTTTACAAAAACACTCTAGGAGTAGGGCAGACAAGACTACGTGGAGTCGGGGCGTGCTGATCAAATTTTAGTACAGATTCGATCAGATCAGATATCTTATTTATAAAGTCAGGTTGCCTTCGCTCCCGCCATGACCTTCTAACGTATTTGATACTGAAAGTATTTCTGAGTGTTCAAGTATTTCTGGGCAGTTTTAAACAATTCAGAGATAAAACACGGTATATTATAATAGTAAGTAGTAGTAAGTAACTTTGGTTCAATATTCCTGTGTAAAAAGTGAGGTTTAGTCGATTTATCATGAAAAACTGGCTTAAAAATCTAAAACTTCAAGCCCTCGCAAAAAATTACAGGGGCATTTGCGCAAAAAATCCCTTTGGGGATTTTCATCATTTATGTTGGTAAACATGTAAAAAAAATTTGTCCAAATCGGAGGTGTCCCTAGAACGGAACTCTACCCGAAATACGTTCCAAAAACCATATTTAATTAAAAAAAGTTAACGTTACAGCCTTTATACATCCCACTGCTCTGTACACAAGCCTCCTCTCATTACTGAGGCAAATTAAAACCAAGGAAGTGACCGCCACGCTGCTCCAATGCGTGTTGGGCGTACTTCACATGTGTTCAAAATATTTTATTTTAATTTCTCAGACATGCAATTTTCCTCACAATGTTTACCTTCACCGCAGAGAACATGGTAAATGGTGATTAAATTTTTATTGATGCTGGCGGATATCGCACCCGGGTTGCTCGCGTTTTACGACGAACGGTTAGCTCTTAGAGCTAAAACTACCAGCATTTTTTATTAATAAACCCATTTTTTGTGACTTAATAAGACAAACAGGAATCTAAATATAAGGTAGGTAAAATAAATTAATTGCAATTATCTACAGGACGTATTTCATTATAATTACTTCAATATTTGTGCTCTATGTTTTTGACTACCCATTATTTCTTAGATTCAACCTACCAATTATTATATCGAAAAAAGAGAAAAATATGCGAGTATGAGGCATAGCTAATATTATAGAGAAATAGAGGTAACTTCACCGATTTCAAAGTGCGCTAATGAGACCACTGTTCCAATAATAGTTTCACTGGTTTATTCACTTACCAAGCAGAAGTAGAATAAGCGGATTCTGGAACTGCTCGATATATTTCTTCCAAAGTGGGTCCTGCTCTTTCACCTGGAACTCGTTGGGCCCCACGAAGTTCATGCGATCGTTTGCTTCCCGCCATGATAGACCACGGCGGACGTCCACGTGCAGTCGATCCGCCACCTGATAACAAAAAAATAATGTTTAAATATCGATAATTACAAAATATTATTATTATTTGATGTTGTTAGTGCAGTACCTAAACATTTATATATGCCGCGGATCCAATTCATGCACATTAAGTTTTTATTTATCTACACTACTATTATAAAGAGGAAAGATTTGTTTGTTTGTTTGTTTGAATTGAATAGGCTCCGAAACTACTGGACCGATTTGAAAAATTCTTTCACCATTAGAATCCTACATTATCCCTGATGAACATAGGCTATGTAATATTTTCAAAAAGTTTGGAGATCCGTATGAAAACTTCGTTAATGTAACCCAAGGTGTGAAAAAAATACCAAAAAGAATCCTTATATCACATACGCTTCGGAAACTATTGATAATAGAGCAAAGTAATGTACTTCACTTTTATAGAGGATATTAATTTCTACAAAAAAGTCTGCGATACCATATGTTTAACTATTACAGTTAAGTCACAATAAATACTTTTTCATGTTAAAATGTGAAATAGAAACGCCGGTACAAATACTACTAATACGAGTACGTACTGATACGAATAGTGTGGCCTAGACATTATTCGTATCAGTACCTGTATCATGCATCTACATCTACACTACTATTATAAAGAGGAAAGATTTGTTTGTTTGTTTGAATTGAACAGGCTCCGAAACTACTGGACCGATTTGAAAAATTCTTTCACCATTAGAATCCTACATTATCCCTGATGAACATAGGCTATGTAATATTTTCAAAAATGTTAGGGATCCGTATGAAAACTTCGTTAATGTAACCCAAGGTGTGAAAAAAATACCAAAAAGAATCCTTATATCGCGTACGCTTCGGAAACTATTGATAATATAGCAAAGTAATGTACTTCACTTTTATAGAGGATATTAATTTCTACAAAAAAGTCTGCGATAGCATATGTTTAACTATTACAGTTATGTCACAATAACTACTTTTTCATGTTAAAATGTGAAATAGTAACGCCGGTACAAATACTACTAATACGAGTACGTACTGATACGAATAGTGTGGCCTAGACATTATTCGTATCAGTACCTGTATCATGCATCTACATCTACACTACTATGATAAAGAGGAAAGATTTGTTTGTTTGTTTGAATTGAACAGGCTCCGAAACTACTGGACCGATTTGAAAAATTCTTTCACCATTAGAATCCTACATTATCCCTGATGAACATAGGCTATATAATATTTTCAAAAAGTTAGGGATCCGTATGAAAACTTCGTTAATGTAACCCAAGGTGTGAAAAAAATACCAAAAAGAATCCTTATATCGCGTACGCTTCGGAAACTATTGATAATATAGCAAAGTAATGTACTTCACTTTTATAGAGGATATCAATATCTACAAAAAAGTCTGCGATACCATATGTTTAACTATTACAGTTAAGTCACAATAACTACTTTTTCATGTTAAAATGTGAAATAGTAACGCCGGTACAAATACTACTAATACGAGTACGTACTGATACGAATAGTGTGGCCTAGACATTATTCGTATCAGTACCTGTATCATGCATAACCACCAATTACTTTAACTATGTAATTTTAGTAACATATTTCACTTTTTAAATCTTTGTTAATTCAGCAACCTTCCGTCGTGATGTCTCTCTCGAAGTTCGCATTTCGCAAGGCGCAGATGCGTGATATACGCGGGTGAAACCGCGGGGCACAGCTAGTTTATTATAAGCCAGTACTTGACCTCAAACCCACCTGGTGGTACGCCTAATAACAAAAGCAAAAACAAAGCCTATTCACTCTTGTCTTAAGATATCCGAATTGTAATCGGACGAAAAGACAAAACACTGGCAAACTATTCCACTCCTTTGCTGTACGCTCTACGAAAGCTGAGGCATACCGTTTAGTTCAAATGCGTGGAATATTCACTGGAGAGTTGTAGAAACGCCGACCGTCTGGTTGCTCGTGGAAGGGTAAGAAGGAATTCAATCGTGTAATTTCTGCGCACACTCACTAGAATGTATCTTATAAAATGCAAAGTGGCTGACTACTCTGCATCCGTGCTCGAAGCTGACAAGATTGATTACAACCAAATTCAGGTCACTAATAAGCCTTTGAACAGTTAGTAATGGCAGGTACGAGGGCCGAGTCAAAATAAAACTAGATACCTACTCAAAAATATAGTAGATATTAATATTTCTTAAGTATTAGATAGATTGACAACTTAAACCCTTAGCCCAAGTTTTGGGCACTCGCGTTTACGTATCGTCATCGACTAAATTGTATTAAAATATTTACAGCGCAGCGTAATTGAAATATTAGCCCGTGTAGTGGCGGGTAAGAATAAGAAAAACCCACTATCCCATATCTTCCCGTGGGTGTCGTATGAGGCGACAGAGGGAAACTGAGACAGAAGATGGGCAGCAGCATCTTTCTGATAACACCAAATTACAATAAAAAAACTGCGATTGCCAAACCGCTCGCCAAGCATGGCGACTATGGCAATAGTTACAAAAAGACGGCCCCCAGTCCCCGGCGGCCCCACTATTCCTGGCTACGGTGGTGACCATGGTAACAGCGGGGCGGGGGGTGCTAAGAATCTCCGGTGGAGGTTCGGTTGACACCTAAGACGACTCGACCTGGCAACATACAACGCAAGCACACTGAGGACTGACGAGAAGATCCTGGAGCTGGAAGAAGAGATAGACAATTTGCGCTGGGATATTATAGGATTATTTGAGGTCCGAAGAACGGTAATCCTCGAATCCGGCAACTTGTTCTATCAACGGGAGGGCGACATTCTGCCCCGAGGAGGTGTCGGATTTATCGTCCAAGTCTCTCGTTGACAACGTAGTAAAGATTGTGAGTGTGTCGACAAGGGTTGCGTACCTTATACTCAAGAATCACCAAACGGTATTCGTTGAAAGTCATACATGTTTACGCACCAACCTCGGCACATCCCGATGAGAAGGTGGAAGAAATGTTTGAGGATATCTCTAAAGCCATGCATTCCTCCAATAGATACTATACGATGTTAATGGGAGACTTCAACGCAAAACTAGGCACACGAGACAACGGCGAGCTGATGGTAGGGATATTTGAAATAGGGCAACGGAACCCAAGAGGCCATCAACTTGCCGACTTCAAGGAGAGAGGGGGACTCTTTATGATGAACTCTTTCTTCTAGAAGCGGCCCCACAAGAAGTCAACCTGGTTGAGCGCCGGCGGTTCGACAAAAAATTAGATTGGCTTTATTATGACCACGAGACGGCAAATGTTCAGTGATGTCTCAGTGATCGCGAGGGTGAAAACTGGTAGCGATCACCGAATGGTTAGAAGCACACAACTTTAAGTTGGAAAGATGTCGGCTAATGAAGTCAACGCTCCGTCCCTATCGTGCTGTAATTCAGGGTCCCGAAATCTTTCAGCTCGAGTTACAAAACCGTTTTTAGTGCCTAGAAGATTGCAATGCAATGGAAGATATGAATGACAAGCTCGTGTAAACTGTTCATGCGGTCGGAGCCAAGATTTGCAAGACCCGTCGCAGAAGAACACAAAAACTCTCCGCTCACACTCTTAATCTCGTGGCTGTTAGACGGGAAATGAAGCTGCAGTCTTTAGTAGATTTAACAGCAAGGCAACTAAACAGACAGATCTCCAAATGTATGCGGCGTGACTTACGCAACTGTAACACTGCTCGTATTGAAGAAGCGATCGAGCAACCGAGTAACCCAAGGTTTTGCCAGAGATCTGTCTGTCAGAAACAGTCAACTGTCGAAGCTGAAGACCGAGTGTGGCAGCATCGTTTCCGGGACACCTGATATTTTGAGTGAGATTGAGTTTCTATGTGTGAGTAACGATCCAAGAGCAAGTCTTATTCGACACTATTCCGATGATATCCTAGACGTCAGTTTGAGCGAGATTAAAATGGCTCTCCAGCACCTTAAAAACGGCAAGTCTTCGGGCGAGGATGGAATTACAGCTCTCTTGAAGAACTACAGACGGTACTTAAAGTCCTTTAGAAATTCTTTAATTCCGTCCTCCATGGTGGCAACACTCCGGAGGCGTGAACCAGAAGTGCAGTGGTCTTGTTCTTCAAGAAAGGCGACTATGCCCACTTGAAGAACTACAGACAGATTTCCCTTCTAGCCGCGTGCTACTTTAGCAACCGCAGTTTATTATTTTGAGAAGATTCTGCTGGCCATTTCCTGTTTAATTTTTCCTCTGTCGCCTCTTACGACACCCTCGGAACGATAAGGGATAGTAGATATTCTTACACCGTCACTACACGGTAAGGTAAAATGATATATATTTGTCGGAGCGTCTATAAAATACCCGGTTGGATCGAGGTAGAAGGGAGGGTATATCGATAAACCCCCTCTTGTGTCTGTAGTATAAAGTTCACTGTAGGTGCCGTGCGCGGGAGAGTCCGCTTAAGTCATTCAACGGGTGTGGTCATTCGACTAGTGCTAAGATATTGCCGTGGTTCTGTTCGTTGTGGTAATTCTTCTAGTGCAGGCAAGGAGAATTGGTGTTGCTGAGAGTCTGCCCTGTGTTACAATGAGATAAGTAGTGTTGCTGTTGCTGTACATATTTCGGTGTTATCATGTAATTACGTACCCCACGTTACACTGGTGTGTGATTGTGGCTGAGACGTATTACGGTGTGGTCGAACTGTAATTTCACTATACTGAATGTATAGTGCGTTACGTTGTCTTATTACTGATAATGATTAAACTGCGTAAGCAAGAGAGCAAGTTGAACATCCGCTCTCACACTTTTTATTTTTAACAGTTAACGCTATCCTGATGTATTTCCGAGATCAAAATTGGAATCCCCTGTTGTAATTCTCCGACATCAGAAGTGGGATCTCCTGTTGTCATTTCCGATATCAGAAGTGGGATAAAGTCCCTGTTATCGTCCACATTTAACCTTCGAATAGTGTGAGGGTTATTACGTTGGTGAAAGACTATGACGCGCCTCACGTTATGTTTTGATGTAAAATGTCTTAATGA